TCGTCTTCCATCAGCAATGTTTCCTTCATGCTAAAGTCTGCTAAATCCTCAGATTATAATCGGCAGAATGTATAGAAAGCTCGCTTTGAATATTTGGACAAGTCAATATCCGTGCGTTTTACAATCTTATAATTGGAGCTACAACTACACGTTCATATACGGCCTGTGAAATACAAAATAAGAGAACAAAGAATCTTTGAGTGAGGTAATAGTGTCTCACACTGTAAAAAAAAGTTTAGCACCCATGTCAAAAACCAGCACCCTATACCTGCTTATTTTAAGCAGGCTAAATGGGTAATAAATTTTAGCACCCTTTTCGAAAAATAGCTCCCTGTGCCGGCTTATTTTAAGCACCCTAAATGGCTGCAACCATTTAGGGTGCTTGAAATAAGCCGGCACAGGGAGCTATTTTTCGAAAAGGGTGCTAAAATTTAGCACCCAGTTAGCCTGCTTAAAATAAGCAGGTACAGGGTGCTGGTTTTTGACATGGGTTTTTACAGTGCATTTCTAGACCGACGCCATAAAAAGGCACTTACCTTCATAGTTACAGTGAGAGTCACAGAAGCACTGTAGACCTCTGGTAGCCAGGGACTGTGGAGTGTAGACTGTGCTGACTGCCTTCTTCTTCTCTGTGTGACCTCTGGTAGCCAGGGACTGTGGAGTGTGGACTGTGCTGACTGTCGGTGACAGGCAGCCTTTATATGGCCGGACGCTGTCCTTCCCATGTTCCGACACAATGCACACTGTACAGTGCACAGTGCATGCGCTGAGTTTGTGCGCTGAGTTGTGTCAGGAAGCTGCGCAAAACGGCAGCCACACAGCTGGATCTAGTTACTGTCTGCTGCAGTAACTTTCGCAGAGTTTGACAGCAGCGCCAGCGAAGACGAAATGTGCGACATGGAAAACTTTATAACATTTCTTTAGCACCTTTTCATGTGTTCTGTCATATGCTGCTTGGTATCTATAAGTGCTCGTTCAGTAGTACCGGTCTCGAGCAAAATGTGTGATTCCAATCACCACAGACACTTATTCAACAATTGTACAATCGTATCAACTATGTAATACAGAAGAAGAGGCAGCACTCTCGTTCATCAGCCGCCTCGCAGAGTCATGCTTTATATGAGAATCGACAAGGGTGCGAACTGAGTCTCTAACAGCTAGAGTTGCTGGATATTCCGACCATCCTACCACACTAACGTGCGAGTCTTATCCGGGAAATCGCGAACGGCCGGATAATACATAGGGGAGAGCGGGGAGAGTTGTATCATGTCCAAGTTGTATCAGGGCGAATTGTGCCAAACTTATCCAATGGATGGCGCTCGCGACACGACCAGCCGACGAGGTTTTCCGGGCGCCATCTTTCCCTGTTCTGTCTTGTAGCTGAGTGGACGCGTCTCGAGGTGAGAGCCGATTTTATGTTTTTTTAATGTCATTCTAAAAAAATAAGTTGCAAGAAAATGTGTGTTTTGGGCATTTAGATGTGCACGAATTTGAAAGATCTCCGTAGCGGTGGTGAGGGTAGGTTCTAAGGCTGCATGAGTGAAAACGGATTTCTCCAGCTGTCCGCTGTTTTTTTAGCACGAGGATGTTTTTCCAAGATGGCGGCTAGGTACATGTTGTATCAGAGCCGGGTGGGGTATGTTGTAACATATATGTATGTATGTATGTATGTATGGGTATGTTGCTTTTGATCGCGAAAGCTAAGCCCTGGCTCGCGTTTGTAGGTAGCTAGTCAATGCTCGTTCCATTTCGGCACAATGTGTTGGCTTCTTTGCTCTTAACGGGCCACTTTTGCGTCTAGTCTGTTGATGTTTCGTTCGGATTGCATTGACCTAAGTTTGGTCTAATAAAGTGAAGCCTTTGAGCATACCTATACATTGTATTAACCCCATTTAATGTTGCTGTTATGTTCAAAACCAGTAACAAGCACACTCCCTGAAACGTGAAATAGTGATACAAATTACCCCACCATGTGATACAACTCACCCAAGCCATGGGGCAAGTTGTATCATAAACATTGTTCTATTCGGCAGACCGTAGAATAAAAACTGGTAGAGGTAGCGGAAAAGTTACTTTGCACAAAAAAGCAGAAGAATCAAGGAAGAGGATAGTATGGAAATAATGAGTTTATCACGGATAGTTACGAGGTTATGGGTCTCGGAGTAAAAACTGATACAACCCACCCCACTCTCCCCTATAGTCTTATTGCAGTGTGCAGTCTATGGCATAACACCAACGTAGTCACAATGATCACGATCACAATCATAAAACGACTTGCACTACTGATTGCTGGGGATGTGTTGCCCTTCAACAGCACAACAGATCAGAACATATTACAGAACATATACATAGCTCGACCGAGCCAATCGAGCTTCCACAGCACATATTGCCGCTGGATATAATCACCAGAAATCCAAGTGCATGGTATGCTTACTCTATATGTGCATGAGTATTGAGTGACTAGACACATTCACTAAGTAAGCCGACCTCACAAAGTTTAAGCAAAAATAAAAGCGGAGCATGGTATTGTCGATAGCTGTTGAATTTGAGAACACATATAGCTAACTCTAAGTCATTCCTACGGCTGGATTCAGTACCAAGACAGCAAAGTCACATGTTGACTATTTCAACTCAAAGACAAATTAAAAAATGGCTCTTCAAAACTCTAAGGAGCCTCAAAGGATTCACAGATTGCTATCGTCTACTCTCCGGTAGAATTGCCGACTGATGGTGCTGCCAGTTCAGAAGCAGGCGTGAACTCTGTCAGCTGGAACTGAGCCATGACGATGACGTAGGTAAGGATGGTGGACAGGATGCTGAGCATGGTGGAGCGCCGCAGTCGGTACAGGCCCAGGTCGCCGACTGTGTCCAGGTCGCGCGCCACCGACCTCTGCAGCAGCTCCAGCTCGTGGCGCAGCTCGGGCCGCCGCTGCCACTCCAGCCGCAGCAGCACGTCCCGCCAGCGGCCCAGACACCCGAGCAGCAGCTGGCACGTCTCACACGGCCCGGCGACGGTCACCAGAATTCCGGGGATGTAGCGCACGATTCTGCTGATGGTTTCAGCGCTGTGGTTTCCGGGATAGGTGAGGTACAACGCTAGTGTAATCTGCATCACTACACCGCTCAGGGCGGTTGCTATCAACTCGGGCGTCATGGAAGAAGTCAATTCCAAAAATGCTTCAGAAGCCGATTTTTGAAGCTCTCCGACGCGTTGTATGTGAGCGACGTCAAGGAGCCGAGAATCGCTGGTCATAACTTCCATCTCCATGGTCAAAGCACGCAACCCTGACGCTATCAATTGGCCGGCAAAAATGAACTTCAGAGATATCAGCAAGACGCACATAATAAAGGAATTCTGGAGGAAGATTCGCAGAAAGAATAAAAAACAATTCATCGAGGAGCTACCATTGCAATAAATCAGAATGCGACTAGTATCAGATCCAAAATACATCAGCCAGAACATTATGGTGAGCGCCAGCATGCGCTTGCCGTAGTCGTTTGGCTTCATCCTTCCTGCCGTCAGATATGCAGTCTTCTTTACTGTTTCGAGCAGATGGCGTATGCTTGATAAAACAATCGGGTATCTAAGTCGGCCCCGTAGAAGTGTTATGGTGAGGGCAATGCTTGGTGCCACATTTGGTATTCCAAGAAATCCCGACAAGTAAAGCGAGTCAAAAAGCCGATTCCCTTCCTTACGAGCTTGTATGTATGTGCTGATACCCGGATATAAGTTGTAAAGAAGCATGGATGCCGGCGGGCCAAGGATCATGACGGCATACAAGCTGGATGCAAAGCTGGAGCTACCAGAGACCCCGGCAATGCGCAGCAGAGCCAGAAAGGCTCTGGACCACTTTGTAAAGAGACTGCTTGGTGCGCGTGCTCCATTACTGGCTCTTGCTTCCTCCATGTCGTTCATTTGCGTTGATGCGTTGACAACAGTTCTTGTTCTCTTATTTGCCCACCGCATGACTGCTGCTAAATGAAAGAATTGGCTGTGAGACACTTCCCTCTGTTTCGGTCGCCTGGTCTTCCTTGTTTCTTTCTCATCAGCTCTTCACATCTAGCTGCTTTGTTTCTTTGCCGACGTTGGTTATCCCCTCTTTTCTGGTTATCCCCTTCGTCCTCTGTCACTCGTCTCCTTTAGTTAATTATGCATTTCCATTTCCTCCTCTCCCATTTACCAGTCCCGTTGTTCCTCTTATGGACTCTTTTTGCCCTTCGAGACTTCTTAGAGAGTTTTCTACCTGCTTGTCATGTTTCTTGATGTTTTCAATCAGCTATTACGCACTCCGACTAGTGTAAAATTGAACGCAAGGCGCCATAAAATCTCTGAGAAGTCTGACCTTCCGGATAATCTAGGAGCACTTTATCAAGAGGCCTGTATAGGTACAGGTCACTTTACAGGTCTACCGTAATCGGCCTCCTAGAGGCGACTGCCACGTCTGGCAATTTGCGGTGTGCTCGGAAGTACCTGACGTCAAAGAAGCCATGAGCACTCACAACACACATCCGGGGAGCCATTGTCGGCGACAGCGCGGTGGATCGAAGCACTATGGACCACGAGCGGCAGCGTCAAAGAACGGCCATCTCAATTTTCGGGCGACACGTCCAACGATCGTTTTGTATAGTCGCCCTGTCATCGTGTTTGTCCGGAGTCGCCCGCCGTGCCATGCTCGCCGCCCTTAGCCGCCAGTGCATGTTTACTGTCCGCGATGGGCGCGGCGCCCGCTCCACCGGCGATTGAAGTACAGCCAGAGTGCAAAGGCTGTGGTGTGCCGTGTATGCGCCTGCTTTGTCGGAACCACAGTGTTTGGTGGCGTCGATGGGTCATTCGTTTCACATTCTGACGCCGGCGAAATGGGCGACAGCTCTCTTTCCAAGCCCTTGTTTTGGAATCGTCTCTGTTGATCATAGCTTTGCAACTGGTTGAGAAGATCGTACTATTGTTTACGTGAAGACAGAAGTTCCCATGCATAATTGACTTTCTGATGAAATACACGTTTTTCCGGAAAAAATGTATTTTGCTTTCGTTTTTCAGTCACAAGAGGTGCAACGCTCATACATTGGGTCCACCTGTTACCGCAAGTGACCTTAGGATGGCATAAAACACAGCCTAGGTTTTAATGTCTTTAATAATGACCCCAATGCCACATTCCTAACTGTTCAATGCCACATTTGAAATGGCGTGCATCTGTGCAATGTTTCCGATTTTTGACTGGTGTGTAGAGCGGTGTCCTGGCTCGTTGTCGTTCTCTCATTCGCAGCTGACCAGCTTATAGCAGGTGGACGCCGGTCGGGTAGGCGGCCATCGTGGCTATCCCACACATGTTGACGCCCCTCTGGACGCGCACGTAGCCGCCCTCGCCCCAGGAGGTACCCCACGAGTTGGCCAGAGTCCAGAAGTCCTGCCCGGACGAGCCGTAACCGACCAGCAGCAGGGCGTGGTTCAACTGGTCCGGCGAACAGCCGGGGTCCGAGTAAATGCCGGAGGAGTAGAGCTGCCGGAGGACAGAGGGAAGAGAAATATTCAGCTACCTGACACACAGCCCTCAGGACACCTGATCTTCCATGGTGAGGCTAAAACTGTCATCGGAGACGAAACGCTCGTAAACTGTTAGCGCCATGGGTGCACTTGAAAAAGTAAACTGCAGACAAAAAAGACGCAAATTTGAAATAACGCCTGATTTGATGAAAGTTGGACTTAAGGGTGCTATTTTTCCAGAAATACAATCATTAGTTAATTTAATTTTAAAGCTGTTTTCTATTGCAGGCGGCGTAGGAATTCCATTTTACTTTCAAATGTGGATCGTTTTAAATCAAAGGGAAACTTCTAAAATCACAAGTTTTATCTGCGTAATCCAACTCTGATTGATACAAATTCAAGCCTCCTACTGTCGCCAATTTTTTTTTTGCGCATTCCCAAGCAGTGAAGCTGAAGCAATTACTACATATACTTTACAGTTCACAGCAAACTAAATGCAAGCCAAAGTTCCTGCCGTCTCACCTGGAATGAGAACTCAACATCGAACATCACGGGTACAGGATTCTGCAGCAACCCCTCCGCCAGGGCCACTTCGTCGCCCTCGGGCACCTGATGCACCTCGTCCAGACCGGCCGAGGGCGCCACGGGCTGACAGGCTCCCACGCCGCCGGTGGTCGGGTAGTCCGCCTCAGTGGCCACGCCGTGATCACGGACGTACTCGAGCGCGCCGACTGTGGACGGCCAGCTGACGCAGTCGAGGAGGTTCTGGTCGCTCAGGGAGACCGTCTGTCCGCTGGAGAGGAAGACACCCGCCTCTACGGAGGACAGCGTGGCGATGGTCCAGGAGGCGCCCAGCTGGCCCTGGTTCTTGATGATGATGGGCACGCCCTCGTTTCGCCAGTCGAAGGAGTCGGGTGCTGTGACGTTCACGGAGGTTGGGGTCCTCGAGCTGGCTGGACGGGAGATGATATTCGGCTGCATCTGTGGAAATTATGTTTGTGACTGAATGGATACGGGCCTGTGCTTTTTCCAAAGTTCTCATGACTCATGATAACAATCGCTTTGGCTCCTGAAACATCTTCAGAAAGTCATGTGCCAAAAAGCTGTACATATTATTGATGTTGCTGTCAAATCGCGATCCACCGATGTTTGATTACTCTGAATCTAAGATATAACAGTAAGCCATATCCACCACTAATGATTCCTCGCAGTCGCATCCACTAAAAACAATTCCTTCCGGTGTCCTGCTGCGGCATACCTAGTTACCTCCGTAATGATCTTTTGGCGGAATTCTTCATTAGTGAAATCGGCGAACTGGTTCACTCCGAGACGAAAAGTACTCCTCCCTGCGTCGTGCTCGGCGTTGTGCAGCCGAATGCGTTCCAAATTTTCATCAAACACCCGGCGTCGGAGAACTTCCTCCTCCGCTTCGTAGACGCGTCCGAAGCGCTGTTTGAACGCCAGCCACTCGTCATTGGCATTGGCCGCAGCCACGGACAGCACGGCAGCCAGCAGAACCGGACTCAACCTGCCGGGAGGGGTAGTGAAATGATTAACAGTTATTGCAACGCACAATTGTTTTCAGTCTAGGTATTCAGACGGGTGTTTTAATTAGCATAACTAAATTTAACAATGCAATGTCATTATGCATACCACGATATAATACCATGTCAAATGGCAATAACTTTCATCTTAAAACGAATAATTTCTGAAGAAATGGTACTTACGGCTTCATCGTTAGTAGTGGACAGATGTCTTCATACACTTAACTTTATTTCACTTCGCGAAATAAGCCACGTATTGCCACTTTGTTATCCGTAAGCACAGCCTCACTGCATTGTCTACCACTGGCGCTCTACTTCTTCAGTGGCTCAAACTCCTGAAAGTGGCGTGAAATCTTCGCTTATCAGTGAGGATTCCACCTGGCCATTTTCCCAAGGAGGTTCGTCAAAGCTTCCCGCCGGAATCCACAGGTGACCTAGCCTCATGGGATTTCTGCGAATCTTGATGTGGCTAGGGTTCCTGGACCGGATGAGCTCTGCACCTATGCGTTCGACGGGCCGGACAGATCCCATTTCTCAGCTGGACACCATTCGCCCCAGCCATAACCACACGAATCCTTTGGGAAATATGCCCGCGCTGTGACTGCTGTGATGTTTCCCTGTGTCATCAAATGGTGGAATAACATAATTTGATACACTGCCCTAGTAGGCAAAAGCGGTTTTCAGTTTGTGGCCAATACCAGCTGCGGACCGGATGACCGGATGAGTTTTCCCACCGGTGTTTATGTATGCACACATATGTCCCACTTTTATAGTTATGGTCCAATTAAAATAAGGGAAACATTGAGTCGTTTTTTCTTAATAAATTGATGCGACCATTGGCCGGTTATTTAAACATTCTTACCGTATTGGGCTATATTCTCCCAACTTTGTAACAGCGGCTGTATTATAGCAGCCGCGGGCCGCGGTGCCCGGTGCTGACGGCCGGATCGCTGGCACCTGAGGTGGGACCGCTAACGCCGGGGCAGGGGAAGGGGGGGGGGATATGCGGGTCGGCACCGCCATGTAATCTGATGCCGCGGGACAGGGCAGCGCGCTGCCGCCCCTCCCCCCTCCCCACAGCGACCTTCAGCCAGCAGAGGTAGCGCCGTCAGTGGGTCCGTGCCCACAGCGCCGTGACACCGACCCCCGCTCCCACTCACCCGCCCCCCCCTCCCCTGACCCACAGCCCCGAGACCGTGTATTTCGGGACCGACTGGGAGCGCTTAACCTCGATGGAAATTCGTGGTATGAAGCTGAGAGCGTGTGGTGGGGCATCAACTAGATGAACGCCCTCATTTGGATAGAAATTAAGCACGGCTTTCTAATATGCATTCACCGCATGCTAGAGAGGCACATCAGGCTTTTTGGTATTTTCGATATAACTAGAAGCATTTCATTCATTATAAATAACGAAGAGTTTAGCGATCTAAGACATTCTCTCTGTCTGAAAAGGGCAACGGCATGAAAACATAATTTGAGGTATGTTGATCACAGTTGTGAGGAACGTTCTCACCTCACGTTTCTTTTCCTTTTTCGTTTCAATGTCACTTCTATCATTTTGACGATGCGTGCAAGAATGTGACCCGTAACGAACGTGCAGTGTGAAACTGAAAAATCGACAATTGCCTGAGCCGTAGGCCTAGGCGGGAAAAGGTGATCTTGCTGTGTCTAACATAACTGCCTCGAGAGTTAACGGTAATAAACATACGCCACTGCATACTGCATAGTCTCTGTCAGCCGCTAAACGCATGCGCTTGTGGAGCCCCTCTCCATTATTTTCGTGGTGTCTCTGGGTGCAATTAACAAGTAACCTGCTGCATTTTCTGGCTCAACTGAATGACTTAATTGAGCTGCCAGTCTCACTAGTCCTCACACGTGCTTTGTTTGATAATCATCCACAGAACCTCAATAGGCAAATCTGAGGGTGTATGGGAGGTAAATGGTATAGGCATCTAAGGACACTTTATCCTTCTCAGAAATTATGCTGTCACACGAAGTCAGTGTGCCCTAACGATATTGAAACAAGGCGGCACACCATCATCCGGGTAGTAAGCCATGATTACTGACGACAAAACGTCTCTGGTACTTATCATGATAACCTCTTTGGCCATACATCACTCAATGCACATCATTGAGCCGCATTGGCCGAAGATCATTGCCAAATCACTCACAAAATCACTCACTCGGCAAACCGAGTGGCTGGGCTCACCGGGCGACCAATGAGTACACCGGTGGTGGATCGATGTTTGGCGAGTCACCGGCACGGTCAGAGGTGCGCCCCTGTGCTGTCATGACAACTGCGGCCCGCCGGCGGAGGCGGAGGCGGCGGCCGAGCTGCGGGTCACGCCGACGGCACTGGTCTCCGGTGGTCGCGCGCCGCCCGCGCCAGCCTAGTCGAGCGCAGCGTCACGGCGAGTCGGGAGAGGGAGCCGATCCGGCGACGATCGCGCGTGGATCGGTCACATTTTGGTCAACTTTGTTGCATTGTGTGCACTTATTTTAAATGTCTGAGTGGTACTGAGTTGAGCTGAGTGACGTATTCAGCCGAGTGTCTTTGAAACGTGAATAAGGGCCGTGAGATAGCGTTGAAGTGCCAGCCCCAGGAATAATCTCAACTCTTGCGGGTCCGCGAGACTTAGTTTTCGAGAGCGGAAATCTGCCTGGCACAGGGAATGTGAGAGGGGCGAACTGCATAGTGTTCGGTTTGGTCTCGTGCGAGGTACCGGGTCAAAGTGACGATCGAGTGAGGGTGGCTGCAGCCTCGGAAGGTGGCAGCTGAACTTCGGCAGCAACGGTGAGTCGCGACAGGCGTCTGGTGATTCCAGTGTCTGTAATCATGTATTTGTCATGTTTTTGTCACCCTAGTAGTGCTGGTACTTATGCTTTTCCGTCAGGACCTAGCACTCCACCTATGGCAGCAAAGCTCTGCTGCATTGTGCTGCACAGCTATAATGCAGTTCCATGGTTTAACCGTTCAACACACTCACAACGTGAGACAGATTATATCAGACAGAAGCATTATACCGCATTGAGGTAAGTCCAAGGCATAAGTCACGTAAATAACGGCACAATGTCGGCGATAATTTAAAACAATCGTTACTATCAATTCAATACTTCAAAGACTTCTATGTGATAGATATCAGACACAATGAACGCGCAAAGGTAAGCATGCATGGCAGGCACACTTACGGAGGACATACATATCTACATCATTGTTCCGTTTGTTATCATGGCTCGTTTATCGGGCGGCAGTCCTGCGCATTTGCATTCAACAGTCGTGCCTGAGCCCCCAGTCCAGTGCACACATGTCACGGACAGTGCACATCCCAGTGTGCGCGTGAGCGCAGCGACAGCTACTGTCGTGTGCGTCTGCAATTAGCAATGACCGTCGTCTCTACACAGCACCGAATATGGATTATACATATATTGTCTCAGCGAATAGTCCGAGGCATTTATTGTGCGTGACTCAACTTCAGAAGAATTAGATTGTTTGTCGATTAGAAATGTTCTGTCTTCTATAAAGAAAATGTATGGAGTAACTTTGCTGTTGCAGGTTGTGTTTGCAGCTAGGTACAGGTAGGTACTTAGTTATTGTTTGAATGGCTTGGGACTTTTTGCAAAGCCTTATGGCAGGAACGATAATCCATTCAGCTAAACATATTCATCATCGATGCCTGCTTTCATCTATCTACCGTCTGAGGTCAGACAGGGGCTATTAGTTTACCGCTTGTAAAATAACTGTAAATCAAGCTTTTCAACCCCATCCCTCTTCAAATGGGTCACGTGGATTGTGCAGCAGCCTGTTGCCCTGGTCGTATATCCGACAGCGGACCTGCCCCCCGCTCTCTGCATAGTTAATGACGCTGGCCGACTAATGGGCCGTTCCACCAGGCAGGAGCGTTTATGATTACACCCATTTTGCATTTGACAGCCACGGGAATTGATTTTATCGTTAAGTGCCGCCGGGCCCGGAGGAGCAGGTTCCGGCAATGGCTCGTCCTGAGCAGCCGACTTTTGAGCCCGGACTGCCGTCAGTACCTATCGCGCCACGAACTCATGTGAGAAACGCACCTAATGGGGCCGTCACTGGACTGTACCTACGCTGAGTGCCTGCAGCGGTATATTGTCGGCAATGTTAGGACGTTTGTGGAGCAAACTGCACTACACAGAATGGCTGTCGGGATATAGGTCGCTCATTCATGGTTCCAGTCTCCAGAAAATGTATTTGATTCAATGCTGATTAACGACATTAAGCACTATCAATTACGCATGCCTGTAAATTACTCAAACATTTATATTGTTTGGCATAACAAATTATGATTTCATTTCAGAGTCTTTATGCAGATGCCATGGTGGACACTGCACATTGCTTCTGCAGAGACGAAAATATACGGATTGAAATAATTTAGCGAAACACTGTAGGACGCTGAGATCTCTGATACCTAGATGAGATTCAAGATCGTGATTTCTGCATTTAATGCTAACAACGTGCGCTAAAAAGCCTTTTCGGATCGAACGGTTACTATAGCTGATAGCGTTTCATGTCTGCCACGAAGAAATGGCAAGAAAGAATTAATAATGCGATTGTTAATTTAATGCTAACAACATGCGCTAATTTAATGCTGCATTTAATGCTAACAACGTGCGCTAAAAAGCCTTCTGATCGAACGGTTACGAACGGTTACTATAGTCATTTGACACGTCATTTGAGGCCTCTGAACTTCAGTTTGGGTTCTTAGGGCATAGGGGCACCAGCGAAGCGTCTATGCTTGTACACGAGACCGCGCAACATTACCTATGCTATAAACTCCCGCTGTTTGCAGCTAACCTCGATGCTAGGAAACGTTTTGATCGTTTGTGGCATGATGGCGTCCTCTTCCGAGCGAGTGAGCACCTCCCACGCCGGAGCTGGGCGCTTCTGGCCTATTGGTACTCTCACCTGTCAGCCCGAGTACGTTTTGGTGGGAAGCTGTCAGACGCCTTCTGTGTGCGCCGAGGAGTGAGACAGGGTGCGCTTTTATCGCCGTGCCTCACCAATATGTTTTTATACCCGCTCATCCAATAGCTCGATGACTGTCGCTTGGGCACCACGCTGTATGGCCACCACATCCCAGCAGTTGCATATGCTGATGATATTCTGATTATGTCTAGTAGCGCACGCGATCTTCAATCAATGCTTCATATCGTCTCCTCCTTCTCAGTGTTGTGGAGGATAGATTTTGTACATGTGAACCAAAGCTTGACCAAGAGTCACAGCTTTATATTCGGGGCCGAGTTCCTCTCTCGGACGCCTCAGTGGCAGCTATGTGGACAGATCCTGAAGCACCGACAGGAAACC